TATTTTACCATGTTCATTTAATTCGTTTCCGCTCTTGTTGGTTGTGTTTTTGGCGATGTCTGTATCGCGCCATCGGCCGCCTTCCATGGTGTTTCGCTTGCGCGTCAACACCTCAAACACAACCCGCCTCAACACGTACTTGTAAGGAGAATGAATACGTGCCCTTTTTCTATAGGTATTGCGCAAACGTACACACAAATTTAAGGGTACCTTCTTGATCTTGTCAGCCAGCGTGATGCTGAACTGATGACGTGTTGCAATGTGTCAGGCGGGGGTGATCACGCGTCCAACTCTATCGCTTGAAGTCCTCCTCTTCAGCAGAACCTACGTGTCCAATGCAAGATGAGTGTCCTTGAGAACAAGACGGATGTCTCTTATATCGATTCACGCGGTTTCGGAAGCTCTAAAGTCTACCATAACGCGTCATTGCTGGTACGTGAACGCGGTGTTGTTTTGCAACTCTTGGCCGGACGATGTGGGACAGCTCAACACAGATAGCCAGCATCCTGAAACTCTAACACCGGCTGCTTTTGAAACATGATCCAATGACAAGGCTCGAGTCTGGCAATCTGATAGAATCGAGCGCTCGGGAGGACCTTGGGGGAGTTTCAGAAATTTTGAAGTGCTAGAATATGTTGATTTCGTGCTATCCGGGCACCGCATCGCTCCAGACGATGCGTGTATGATGCTAATATTGCCGGCACACCTCTACGCTTCGTCCAACCATGTTTTCGAAGTTGACCTCCTTTGGTAATACTTTGTTGTGGGCTATACCGTCAAAGACTGATGAATTAGCTTCTGTCCTTGAGTCTGACCGCTTGAACGGCTGTTCTGTACCTAGGTATCATGAGATTGAGATGAACACTGGCATTTGAACTATGGCCATCACGTATCAATTGATGAGTCGTGGTATTTTCATGATAATGTCGTGTTAAAAGCAGGATGAGAAATGGCTAAGTGGTATAATAGTTAGAGATGTAGTGCATGGTTTGCTTCGCAGACAACGCTCCAAATTGTTCCGTGCAGAGATGCATCCTAACGATTCGCTATATGTTCTCAGACAGCCGTACCCTTGTATAACTCTTATTTTCGATAATTGTTTGTGATAGATTGTGATATACTCTTCGTATTCAGTTTTAGAAATAATAATTACGTGCCTACCTAGGTAGTCAATAGTTGTTACACTACTTACTTATACACGAAAATTAGTGAGCAGGGAATAACATAAGCAGATATAGCCGCCAGATATCGGGTGAGGCTTCTTCTCTGGATACTGTCGACATGAAGAAGATGAAAGCCTCAATTCCGTTCTTGTGAAACTAGCCAATGTTACAGATTCCGATTGCAGTTGGTCCTGCAAGCTACACACAATAGCGCTCCACGGTCTTTTAAAAATGTTATAGAAGACAAGACATCGGGACACGGATTTACAGCAGTAAACGTGATAGCACATTTACCAATGCAGTGGACCTGCAAGGCGTTGATAAAGAAGACACAGCCCAAAAGACTACCTGGGTACCCAGGTCAGCTCGGGAAAATACACCTGCAACCTACTAAATCACGCTCAACCATCATTTGGTGCAATACAAGGGTCATTACCTCTCACTAAATTGCACAAGTATTTCCTACCGAGGTTAGACTTCGAAGCTTACAATGAAGCCGACAGCCTGATATCTGATCGAAGGTTTGCTTCACTTCCATTCAGACTGTGACCTACGATACCGCTTTCGTCATCGTCGATGTTCAAAAAAGCAAGGTCCATGATGCATGAGAGCACATTTGCCTCTATTCGCAGAAGCATAAGAAATACCTCGTTCATCTATATGTCCGTCACAATCACACCTGAAGGATTTTCGAACTTCCAAACGGCTGTCATCGACAAGGAATGAGGGAACAATGCCACCAACCGAACTATTCCTTGGGCAGTCAATGGCGCTTGTGCAGTTCGACGTTCCGTGTGGGTCTGAATACGGACAAAGCAAACCTGCTACTCAAGTCTGTCGGACACCCTCCGGATTTTACGAACAAGCTTGCTCTTAGCTTGACGCATCCACACTTTGGATCTGAGTGACGTCGCGAAGCCGAGAATGACATGCTACAAGGCCGTGAAGACGGATCAACGTGATGTACACGAGATATCGGAACGTGAGCCGAGGGCTGTGGACGCAAAGGGGTGTGGCGAACCGCGCTTGGTGTTCTGTCGTTCCAACTGCTCAGTCCCGAGCTGGCAGACTGAGGATTCGATGTTGGAAAGGCGCCCGGTGATGGTACGTAAGAGTACCTAGGTAAACTGGAAATACGATGATTGCCTCCCAACTCCTAGCTCGTAGAATTTGACCTTTGCGCTTGTTTCAAACGATGCTTGCCTGCAGCATTTGTGCCACTCCAATGCATAGGTATCTGTGAGTCTGGCCATCGTTAACCAGGCGATTGCTTAGGTAGGTACGAAGTACTGAGCTGGCACTTTCGAATTGAGCAATTGCATTGAAGCTTTTGAGAACGAGGGTTTATACTGCCGTGTGGAGCTTGGTGCAAAGGTAGTAATGAAAGCCGATCCGCTTTATTGCCATTGGATTGCACCGTTCCAGGGTTGTCAGCCCCTTTCTATTACACCGCCACGCAGCATTGAAGCCGAAAGAACACGAGGAATGACTGCAAGTGTCGCCCATCCCACTGTTGTTCTGTCCGTCCGTGAGGGAACTCGGTCATGCAATCTATTATTGTCAAGCAGCCGTTCGACTAGCAAATCGGATCGTGTCGGGGTGTGGGGTTGGTTCAAAATTGGCAGCGGCTAGCCAGCATCAGCTAATTACTCGCACTCATCGGCCCGCTAACTTGGCCACCGCAGCGTCACTTTCGACAGATTCCATTTGACGTCTATGCAGACACTCCACAGACTCCTGCCCGGAATCTCGGAGAAATAGTCCTCGTACGACCCTGAGCAGGAACCGGCTGTGGCGCATTGGTTTCCGAGGGTCAAAATATGGGGAATATGGAAGTTTCTATGGACCCACGCTCGTGTTCAGATCGAATGTGACCTCATGTCGTTGTATTGTTGGGGTTTCGCCAGTAGGACCGTGATGAGGTTGAATACGAGGCTGCTGTGTATATAACGTCTGATGGTCTTGTCTCTACAGGTCATCATTCAACTCCAACACAATCAAATATCAACACTACATCTATAAACACCCACTCCTAAAACACTTCACATCAAAACTCCAACTACAATCATGAAGTTCACCACCGCCGCTGTCATCGCCTCTGCTGCTGGCCTCGCCACTGCTCTCCCTACCGACTCCAAGATCAAGGACGGCGATGTTTTCACAATCCAAACCATCCGCTCAGGCACCGCCGATCTACAGTACAACACTATTCAAGCTGTCCAGAACTCTCTCGTGATCAACGCAGGCCAACAGAATGCTTCCTGCGGCCCGGAGCCCCACAACTACGCTTCCTTCCAGCTCAACAACGGCACTCTCTACCTCTACACTGCCAACCCTCCCCAGCAGATGTTCGTTGACAGGTCAGGCATGGGTCAGGGCGTTATCCAGTACACCACAGGCGTACAAGATATGGTCAAGAACGGAGAGAGGCGGACCTTTGCCATCAACGACGACGGTCACCTCGTGTTCAAGGACCAGACTGGTCAGGAGATTGGCTTCCAGGCTTGCAAGCCTTCTCTTAATGGCGGCTACTCCGTCTGGCTGGACGGCGTAACCAACCCGGCTGGAGCTGATGAGTGCCTTGGGTTCGCTGCTCGAGCTATCAAGGAGGAGAACCCTGTCAAGTGCTCGTACACCACCTACCCGTAAGTGCAGACACTCTAGTTCTGTGGCTGGTGGATTTGAGAAATTTTACTTTGGATATTCGAGCGACATTTCTTTCTTGTAAATATAATATGTAAATAAGACAATGCTACTTGCCCACACAAACTTGTTCCAGACAGATGCGATATGAAGTGGTCCCTTTGTGAAAGTGGTTTTGACGCGAAGCAATAGACCAGAGAGATGAGAAGGCAAGGAGGGGAGGATTTGCGATGAATAAGCTACTCAGGGCAGCTTATACCAAAGCGAAGTAAGAGACGATGCGATGGCGTTGACAAGGATCCATGGGTTTACTCAGACAACATATCGACAAAACGCACTGAGCATGCGTTATGACGTGGGGCAAAGAATGGACGGCAGTCGACTTTGAAAAAGAAAGAGCATGCGGAACGACGGGCAAAAAGAGATGTGGTTGTAGCGTGAGGTCTAAGGCGAAAGTCACAAGGTCGGACTACGCCGAGCAATCTTGATGCGCACCCCTTCTCGGCTAGCGCGCCATGCTGATAAGCCGCAGGGTCCGCCCCGTTCCTGCTCTAACGCAATCGTCGTCTTATCGCCAGGCACGCGTCACACGTGCACCCATCACATTCGCCATGAGACGCCCTCTGACTGGTCCCCGGGCAGCCGATCACCATGATGCCCCAAACGCGGCCCTGCGTGACCTCGCCCAGCGTGATGCCTGGTACTGCGCCATGAGTGGCTATGTCGTCTGTCCCTTTCATCCCCCATAAACACCCATCCCCAGCGCCGTCTCCGGCCATCCCATAGTACACCTCCGCGCTACCTGGCTACACTCCGAACCTCTTCCACCAGTCAATTTGCCCAGAAGACATCTCGGGCTCTCCGTTGACGCATCTACGGCTTTGGACCCGGCGGCGACGGACTAGACTAAAGAACTGACCTTCCGCATCGAGGCACAGTGTATTCGCTGTCTGCGAATCAGCGAAAACAACGTGCAGGCGTGTAATCTGAGCTGCCGTTACGGGAGGGATCGACCCGCGAAAAGCTTGTGTATTCTTGTTGCACAGCGCCAAATTATCTCCTCCGTCCTTGCAGTAGTAGAAGGCGAGCGGGAACATGCCGGCCATGCTAGACTCCCTAATCGGAGCCGCGAGGGATAGAGTACATAACGCGGCTGCTTCCACAGCAGAAATGCTGGCAGCAGAATCAACAGCCATGCCTTCTCTCAGGACTCTCAGCAAGATTGCGCTCGGTGGTGCGCAAGTCATCCTCGGCAATGGAGGACGCGTTATGGGCGAGTATACCCAGACTTGCCCCAATGCTCAATTGAGCTGCCACAACACCACCGTTGTGGAGAACCTCTGTTGCTTCAACGCACCAGGTGGACAGATCCTCCAGACGCAGTTCTGGGATGCTTCTCCTGCTACCGGACCAGAGGATAGCTGGACAATCCATGGTCTATGGTACGATTGCCCTTCAGCTCCTATTCACTATGCATGAATGCTAACCACACTGTCCAGGCCTGACCGCTGTGACGGCACCTACGACGCAAACTGCGACTCGTCGCGCGCCTACTCCAACATCAGCGCCATCCTCAACTCCTTCGGCGCAACCGACCTCCTCTCATACATGTCCACCTACTGGAAGGACTACCAAGGCGACGACGAGTCCTTCTGGTACCACGAGTGGGCCAAGCACGGCACTTGCATCTCCACACTAGAACCCGAGTGCTACAACGACCACAAAGCAACAGAGGAAGTTGTCGACTTCTTCCAAAAGACCGTCGACCTCTTCAAAACGCTACCAAGTTACGAGTGGTTGGCCGCAGCTGGTATCACACCCAGCACAACAAAGACATACACTTTCGCCGCCATTCAAAGCGCCATCCAGGCCAAGAGGCCCGGTGTCGAGGTAACGCTAGGCTGCAAGTCTGGTGCGCTCAACGAGATCTGGTACCACTACGATGTTCGTGGCAGTGTACAGACTGGCGAGTTTGTTGCTTCGGACCCTGATGGTACCAAGTCTACCTGCCCTCAGACAGGAATCAAGTACATTCCCAAGAATGCAAGCTCGTCTCCTCCCTCTACCACTACGACCGTTGGAGGACCTGCGCCGACATCTACTGCTGCGCCTGGAACACCTTTCAGTGGTAAGGGTAACCTCAATGTCATTGTCAACGGAGTCAAGAAGGGATGCATCATCAGCAAGGGTACTTGGTACACGACCGGAACATGTGCAACTTTCACAGCTACCGATGTGGACAACGGCTTCACCCTGTCGAGCTCCAAGGGCAAGTGCGCAGTCGTTGCTGGAGCGCTATCTTGCGATGGCTCTGCAAGCGCGACTGCTTTTACCAACACTGACGGAAAATTGGCTGCTGGCGGTAACGCGCTCTGGTCCGCGGACAAGGTTGCGTCTGGCAGCACACAGCAAACTGTGTACGCTGGTGGAGACCACTCTGCCACGTTTGCTATTACCTGGCAGTCGGCGTGATAGCCGCCGGTTTCGGCATAGATTTCGTAGTCTCCAATCACATGAATGCAATAGTCATACCAAAGAGTTTGAGTCAAGTTTTTACATTTGGTGACTAAGACCCACTGGTTAAGCAGCGCATCTAAATCTTCAGGTATCTCTTTTTATCGTCCTAATCATATCATTCCTCGTAAATTCCCAAAATGGTAGAGCTGTTGAATTTGCCAGTCCAGAATTTGCCTTTTTGTTGAAACACCATATCCCGCTTGGAGAAAGAAACGCCATAGTACGCCGCCCAATCACGAAAAAAGCTCAATGTAGGCTTAGATGGGCAGAGGGAAGGTGACGGCCCAGGCCGCAATCTCCTTCTTGAGGTCGTTGATCTCCTGTACCTCACCGCTAGCAACCTTGCTCTTGAAGTCCTTGAGCTTGTTGTTCTCCTTGGGGAGCTCGCCTTGGATCTTCTTGCACAGCTTGATGCACTGGTCGATGTAGTTGGCAATCTTCTTGAAGTCATCCTCACCAAGACCACGCGAGGTCATGGCTGGGGCTCCAATACGGATACCCATGGGTGTGAGAGCCGACTTGTCACCAGGAGTGGTGTTCTTGTTGCAGGCAATGTTGACTTGCTCAAGAACGGCTTCGACACGGGCACCGTCAAGGTTGAAGGGCTTCAGGTCGATTAGGACCATGTGGTTGTCGGTACCGTCGGTAACGAGCTTGTAGTCCATGCTCTTGAACGCAACCTCGAGGGCCTTGGCGTTCTTGATGACCTGCTGCTGGTAGAGCTTGAAGTCCTCAGATTGGGCTTGCTTGAGCGCAACCGCGAGGGCGGTGATGGTGTGGTTGTGGGGGCCACCCTGGTGGCCAGGGAAGACGGAGAAGTTGATAGGACCCTCGAGATCGTAGAGCGTCTCCTTGCCAGTCTTGGGGTCGGTCTTGCGCACACCCTTGCGGAAGAAGATCATGGCACCACGGGGTCCACGGAGAGACTTGTGGGTGGTGGTTGTGACAATGTCGCAGTATTGGAAGGGCGACTTGTTGACGCCAGCAGCGACAAGACCAGAGATATGGGCCATGTCCATCAGGAGGTAGCAGCCAACCTTGTCGGCAATCTCACGCATGCGGGCGTAGTCAATCTCACGGCAGTAAGCGGAGGTACCGGCGACGAGCACCTTGGGACGGTACATGAGGGCGTTCTGCTCAAGCTGATCGTAGTCGATGAGGCCGGTGTCGAGGTCTACGCGGTAGGGGAAAGTCTCAAAGTATGTGGAAACAGCGGAGATCCTATCTCTGGTCAGCCTACGCCCCCTGTACAAGTGGCTCGTTTTGTACGCACTTCCTCTGGGGTGTTTGGTAGCCGTGGCTCAAATGTCCACCATGGGGCAGGTCAAGACCCATAAGCCTGTCGTGGGGCCTCATAATGGCCTGGTAAGCCTGGAGGTTTGCCGGACTACCACTCAGGCACTGTACGTTGACACCCCACTTCTCCGAGTCTAGACCAAAGGTCTCGAGTGCGCGCTTCTGGCAGAGCAACTCAATAGAGTCGATGTGCTCGTTGCCGCCGTAGTAGCGGGCGCCGGGGTAACCCTCAGAGTATTTGTTGGACATGGGCGAACCGAGCGCATCGAAGACAGCGCGGGAAGTGACATTCTCGGAGGCGATGAGGAGGATGGACTCGCGCTGACGCTGGATTTCCTTCTCCTACAAGAATTGTTAAATGGTATAGGATAAAAAGAATAGCAGAAGAGACTCACCATAATCTGGGCGACCTCATTGTCGGTTTCCACCAGGGACTTCTCCATGAGCTATGCTGAGTTAGCAGGGTGCATCTTGATTGTGATGTGAGGGGCAACATACGTCCTGGTGGGACTTGGGGAGCGCGTAAGTGGACATGACAGGCAACTGAATGTAGGTTTTGTGTTGGGAAGGGAATGAAGAGTAAGGAACGGAGGACAATAGTAAAAGACTATACGGGCTTTAAGCAGTCAGAGCACTAGATGTCCCTCTCACGCCAACCCCACCAATTTTTTTGGACGCGACAAAATGCTCTAGGCTCGCTTAGGCATGGCGCCATCGATAATTGCGTGCTGCGGCCGGTCGTCGGAGGGATTCGGACAAGCTCTTTGCATTTGTGAAGTAAGACATCTCTTCATGGTATGCGCAGGTGTAACGCGTGAATGCGCTATTGATGGTGGCAGAGTGAAGACTTTCCGCTTTTGGGTTGCGAATGGCAGGTTGACTGGCGGCTCCGCTACTCCCCGCGTTTCGCCCCTCCACGATGCGAGAATACCCCGGCATGTCCAAGGGACAAAAGGAGACATTGTACACAAACGCTCCCACTGCCAGCCGTCGGATAAGCATCACCAAACATAAGGCAAAAGTTTCCTGACTTGACGTATCCGATTCTCATTCTTTCATTTACTACATAAATACAGTCCATCCTAGCGTTTCTTTCCGTCGAGTCGTTCCTCCTTCGTCTAACATCCTTGTCAAATACCAATACTCGCTCGTGGATCAAATTGATCTGACGTAAAAACCTCAACGCCGGGTATGCCAAACAAAAAGCGGTTCTGGTCAGCAAGCTGCCATCGCGTCGCCAAAAGGGTATGTAACAGTAACTGAGCTGAAGAAGTGAAGGCCGAGTAAGCTCGGCACCAAATTACACAATCGCGCCAACAAAATGCTCATCTTCTCGTAATTTTTTTTGAATGTATCCGCAGCTGTGTCTGTCCTCTTAGTCGTTGTCGGTAAGACGGTCGAGAACAATGATGCTGAGAATCATAACGAGCAACCCGATGGTTACTATTATGAGTAGCACAAAGCCGAACCATCCAAGAACCATGGCTGATGTACCGACACCGGACTTGACGCTGCCGTTACCCAGGTCTTGCACAATGGTTGCGGCTGCGACGGATGCTGTATGTTGCCAGAGTACGGAGACCAGGACGAAGATGGACGAGATAAAGATGAGCGCAAGGGCGACTTGTGAGACGGGCCTTGACGGGAAGGGCTTGACGTCGACATCGGATCCGGTTCGCTCGTCTCTCTCCTCGTGCCATCCGGGGAAGGTGGCAAGCAGGATGAATGTGAAGAAGGCGAGGATGATGGCAACAATGAGCAAGTAAGGGAAAACAACGGCATCCTTGAAGGTAGCAGCAACCCAGACGAGGTTCAGCGGGTCCTGGTCAACGGACACGTTGTCGACGAGCGCTGTGGCATTGTTGGAGCAGATGAAGCCACCGCCGTCTCGGTTGATGCAGATGCCGAAATAGCCGACGCGCACACCAAGCTGTGCGTTGCCGACAATGTTGGCAATTGCGGCTGTAACACCGGGGTCGACCTGTTCAGGTGCGTAGGTGGGTGTAAACTGTTCGTACCACATGGAGATGAGGAAGATGCCGGGGATGAGTGGTGAAGTGGACGAGCATCCTGCTAGTAGCAATGCTGGAAGATTGTTAGCCATCGTCTTTGGGCAGGCTTTGGTCGCAACTTACAAAGCAATATTATAGCAATTGCAATAAGAATCATGAGAACATGGTGGAAGCCAAGAAACGGTATTAACCCTGGTGGTTGTCAGTCTTGATGCCTCGAACAGACATGTATGCAAGTACTCACGTTGCATGCTCACCGCGAACCGCAAGTTCGCCATTATGACTGTGTCGTTCCTTCAACTGCGCCGGATAGGCTTTGTATTCTCCCTGCGCCCCCAGAGGGCCGGGTGAGATGAGCGGGGGAATGCACTCAGACAGCGGCTGGTGGGGTTGTCTCTCTCCTACAGAGGTGCGAGAGAGCGGGAGCAATGGTGTCTGGTTCCGAGTGTACTTGGGTCGAATGCGGAATGCGGGTCGATATGCGGTACGGTCGGGATGTGCACTGCGACAATGATGGTCAGATGTCTCCTGTGTGGAAGAATATTCAAAGTGTGGGTGGTAGCGTGGAATGTGACTTCTCTCTCTGCTTGCAGCGACTGATAGTTTTGCTGTTGCGAAAATGGTGATGGCTGGTCTGAAGTGGCTGGAGGTGGTTGGCTTAGTCTATCAACAAAGCGGGTTGTCGAGGGGACCGAACACGAACGTCATGCCCAACAGCCAATAACACACGAGCGCTACTGGCGATCCAAGCTCGTTCCTGCATTAGACCCTCCTGTTAATGTCCCTTGTCCAGCCTCTTCATTCCTGCGACGACGTGGCGGCTTGCGTACGGCACCAGCTACAGTCCTACTGCGACCGCCCTTTCGCGTGCGCCATGGTTGAGGGTTCCAGAACGCGTCGTAGCGCCATGCACCTCAAGACACCCGCTGCGACACCTCATACCGCCTCATACCGCTATCCACAGTATATAGTAGTCGGTGTGCCGCCGACAGTGCGCACCCGGAGATTCAACAATAAAAAGCACCATCGTCCTTGATGCATCTTGAACACTTTGCCATGGCATTTGGTCACGGCCTGGCTCTGCGTGTTGAGTAGCTCCAAGCAAAAGGGTGAGGCCATTGCCGATACTGTCTCATTGCAGTCTCGACGCATATCTAGACATCTAACAACAGCTTCTTGCAGCCTGTTTGCAGGACCATCTTGAATTCAGGCTCGTATACTTCTTTGGCTCGGTTCGGGCCCTCAAGCATTACCCGGTGGCCCTGCAGCGACATCTCCCGACAACCTTACCTGACGGAAGCTTGCGCTGCACACCCTGCGAACTCAAAGGCAGGGCAGGCCGTACTTGTATTGAATTTTGTAGACTTGCTCCAACACGATCACTCATCAGGCTATAATGATTGCGCAATCTGCATCGCATCGTACGTCAGTGATCAGCGGTCTCATTTCGTGAAGATGACAGTCAGATGCTAGTCACCAGCATACCAGCAAGCATTGGGCTTCGTTGACCTGGCGATCGGACTTGAAGCTTGATTGTACCCTTCGACACGGGATGATGTCACTACTACATCGGTACACGTGGAGTCGCGCATCCGGCGCAGGGACCAGTAACTTCGCCCCACCTCAAAGTCGAACTTAACTTACCAACTCTCGCGATGCACGTGTATGCTCGTAGACTAAACGCTAGCACTAATCTTTCTTGAAGATACCTGAAGCAGGGCAGGTAGTCGGCGGCCAAGAAGTGTAGTGAACGCCACGCTCTCTTAGCTAGCTGCTCTCATGACGGGTCAGCAAACTTGCTTCCATCGTTGATCTCTATCACCTACCCCTGTTCATTCGCCTCTCAAAGTACTATTCAAACAAGCGAACAAATATGGCCTATCACGAAAGCAGACTGAATCTCAACCTCGTCAGATTGCCAACAAAATGACGTCCTAGATTGTTCTGGGCATACGAGTGGATTGTGGCTGCGTTGTTTCATTCCAGGCACATGTCAGTCTTACTCCTGCTGTGACTGCGAACGGCAGTCGCGAACTATGACGTAGCTGCTTGAGACATGAGAAGCATATAAGGCACTCGTCCTGCGCTGGAAAAGCCTCCATCAACATCCACACCTGCAAGTTCAAACATCAACTAGAACCACCATCTACCTACACACACTACCCCAAAAACAACACCACAAACAGCCAACATGACCGACGCATTCCGCAAAGATACTCACACCAAGCTCGGTGAGAAGATGGTATGTCTCCTTGTTCATCCTCCTCCCATTACCTGCATCTCCTAACAGATATATCAGCAACCCCAGTCTTCAAAGTCCACTGGCACCAAGATCAAGGAGTCCATCACTGGCACCGGCGACAAGATTGCCCGTGAGGCGCAGCCCGACTCTTCAAAGACCAACACGCAGTCTACTATGGACAAGATTGGCCGCTCCAAGGACAATAACGTTCACGGCTCCACTGGCGGTAGCATTGTCGACAAGACCAAGAACGCTCTTGGAATGGGCCACCACACTACCGGCACTCACACCACTCACACCCACGGCAGCGGCTTGTAAGCATCCTGCTTGCCCTCGATGGTAGAAGGAGGAATGCGATACCCAAAGAAGTTTCCATGGAATGAGATGGACTTGTACTATATGAGATACCTCGCCTGCGGGCTAATGAATTAATACCTTTTTTACACTGCAATATGATCACCTTGATCCTTTGTGCTCCATGCATTTCGACATAGATTGTCTTTTTGAGCATGGTCAGGTTTTTGAAATGTGGGGATTGAGAGTACTACACATGTGTGTATAACAAGTGACAGTGATATTATCCAGTATCTACATGTTGTAAGTCGAACAATGTACCTCATCACCAAGAATATGCATAAAGTCGTAAAAGTTTGGACAGTCGCTAACGTACGTATACGCTCGATCTGTCTCTCTGTCTCACCCTCCCCTAAAAACTCGGAATCCACTGCACACCTAAGTGGGCATTGCCATGACACCCGACCATCCAGTTCCAGCCCCTGACCCTCCACTTCTGCCACCACGACCAGAAGGCCTGCTGGTCGTTGTTGCGCCTCCTGAAGCTCTGCTACCACCACCCTTCGAGGCTCGCTTCTTCACACCACCAAAACTTTTGTTAAAGCTACCAGAAGCCCTCTTGCGAGACGAGCCCTTCTTCTTATACCCGGATCCATAGGCTTTAGATCCACCTCTTGCTGCTGGTGCCTTGGCCGCTTTGGTAGAGGGAGCCGGGCCGCCACCGAGTTGTGTATATCGGTTGTTGAAGTCTGCAACGTCTTGGTTCTGGAACTGGCTAAAGTGATGACTTGTGTGGACTGCGCCGTCATCGTCGTCATCATCATCGTCCTCACCAAAATCGCCGTAGAAGGACTCCTCCTCAGACTCCTGTGCAACAGGCATCGGGCCTTCGTCTTCGCTACACAGATCCACAACGAGCCGATGATTTTGGTCGTCAACTTCCTCGTCATCATCGTCAATCTCGTGGATGACCCGTGATTGTTGAGGTCGACGGTTGCGAAGTTGCGGGTTCCTAGGCACTGGTGTGTCATCTCCATAGAATTCCCTACTGTTGTTGACCAAGGTCAAGAATTGCTTGCCATAGAGATCCACCATTTCGGGCCTAATACCAGGGATGGTCTTCATCTCATCCAGACTCATGGGCAAGTCAAGACCCATCTCGCGAAGTACAGTGTCTGTGAAGATGGCTTCGCGGTGGCCTTTCCTCTCTTGCAAGGCCGTTCTCATCTTCCTGGCTCCATTCATGAAATCATCCAAGACTTCTCTTTGTAGGTCTGTAAGTTCTGCAGTTCGTTGATCTGCAGTAATCGGAGCTCCAACTCCCTTCCCTTTCGTGGCCTTCGATGGCTTGGCAACACGTATTGGCGCAAAGTAGTCGTCGTCGTCCTCGACAACAAAATCATCAGCCTGATAACCACGCGTAGCCTTGTTGCGCGTAGGATGCCGAGGAATATCAAAGTCGTCATCGTCATCGTCGTCCTCCTCGTTATAGGCAAACGATCGAATCTTTTGCTTGGGCGCGCGTACAGGAGAGTCGACATTGGTCGACGGAAACTGGGTCTGCTGCTTCTTCGTTTTCTTGGCTGCGGGTGCTTTTGCGCGTGCCTTTTGTGGTGTAGAACGTACTTGTAACTTCAATTGCTTTCGTTTGCTTTCATAGTCATTGCGTGTCGAAGCAGGCTGCAGCAGTCAGTATGTGACCATAATCAGGGTCGTAAATACGTACGTGTAGGTAGTTGGTGGCAAAGCCAACTTTGTTCACCTTGCTTCTTTCCTTGAAAGCCCCCGCATCAAGCAAATGCTGAAAGATGCGTTCGTTGTCACCTCGTTCCAGATCCTTGCCGTAGCCCCAGCCGTACTCTTCCAATCCCGAGCGCTTGATCTTAGCACTGCCAGCGCCACGGAAAGCATCTACGCACTGATGCATCGTTACGTTGTCCTCGTGCACTTGACTTACGAGCTTGATAGCCATGGCAGCATACTCTGTAAGATCTTTTGTGACGAATGTGGCATCCGAACGACAATTGTCGCATGTTGAATTGCACTTAGAGGCATCGAATGCTTCACTAAAGTATCCGAGTACTTGAGCGCGTCGACAGTCGGCTTTGTTCTCGCAGTACTGGATGACGGTCCGTAGCATATCAGTCAGTCGCTGCTTCTGCTCCCAACTTCCTTCACCCTCTTGAATCATTTTGTGTAATATCCTCGAGTCGGCATACTGATAATACAAGTAGCACTCTGAACGTTTGCCGTCACGCCCAGCTCGTCCAGTTTCTTGGTAGTAGCCCTCTAAACTTTTAGGGAGCGAGTGGTGAATAACGTATCGTACGTCAGCTTTATCGATGCCCATGCCGAAGGCGATGGTAGCCACAATGACGTGGTACTCGTTCTTTTGCCATTTGCGTTGAACCTCGGAGCGGTCAGCGGAATCCATTCCCGCGTGGTAATGATAGGCACGGATGCCTGCCTCGGACAACTTTTGGGCCACTTGCTCACAACTCTTCCGCGACAGACAGTAGATGATTCCAGATTTGCCAATGTATCTCTCTTTAATCAGATCCGCAATACTGTTGATGACACCCTTGACTTTCGGCACAACCTCGTAGGACAAATTAGGGCGGTTAAAACTCTGAGAAAATTGACGGCAGCCCTGAATGCCGAGGTTGGCCACTACATCAGTACGAACGAGTTGGGTCGCAGTTGCAGTCAGGGCAATGACAGGTACTCCGGGAAATTGGCGGACAACGTCTCCAAGTGCCTTGTAATCTGGTCGGAAATCATGGCCCCATTGACTAACACAATGTGCTTCATCGATGACGATACGGGCAAGGTTCCCTCCAGAATGCAGTTGCTGGAAGGCACTGATCATTCTCTGGTTCTTGCTAAGCATTTCAGGAGTTAGATAGAGGATTTGTATGAACTGTTGGGGATCCCGCTGGCGTAACCCATCCATGATCATGCTCTTTTGTGCTGCGGTAGACTCTCCGTTGATCAGAAACGCTTGCATCCCGAAGCGTTGTTTGCAAGCCATCACCTGATCCTCCATCAAACTCAAGAGTGGAGATACTACGATAGTAACTCCCCGTGTCTTGCCTGAAGCGATCACTGATGGAAGTTGGTAACAGAGCGATTTGCCACCTCCCGTAGGCATGAGCACGAAGCAGTGTTCGCCCGAGAGTGTAGTATTGATAGCTTCCAGCTGTCCTGGGCGAAATCCTCGCAGACCGAAACGGCGAATAAGGGCGGTCCTGAGATCCTGCGACCAAGGGAAATTCATCCCAGGGTGGTTTTTGGCAGGCATGTTTAGCTGCTGCTTCTTCGGTGAAGCCTGCTGGTTTGATTTAGATTGGACTTGGTTGGTAGAAGTTTCGCGGAACACCTCGCGAGATTTTGTTGATACGCGACTTTCTGCACGCTCGCCTTTCCAATCAAACCCACCCGGCGCCTGGTTCTCGATATTGGTAATCTCATGAAGGAAGTCGTCATCATCGTCGGGTCCAAAATCTTCGCCAAAATCATCATCGTCGTTTATCTCAATAGGCTGGTGAGGCTCGCCCATGTTATTGCCGAACAAGCTTCCGTCTTCTTCAAAATCAAGCTCACCAAACTCATCCGGCGTATGCCGCGGAGCCGCCGGTCTTGGTTTCTTTGGGGATCGTCGGCGCTCTGGTGTCTCGGGTACCCGATGGGATCGCTCTCTTGACTTGCCTTTTTGCTTTCCTGATGCACTGTCGTCCGCATAGGCACGAGACCCTAGATTCAGTGGCGGTGGCGGAGACGCGGCTACTTGCTCTTCAGCGAAACGAATACGGCGGGTAGGCGTCCACACTTCCTGAGCGCCAATCTCACTTGGCTTAGTGTACTGTGTCTGTGGAATCCGATTCGACCCTATATCCCTGGAAGCCTTGGGAGGTGGTCGGGCTGGACTTGCTTGAGTTGATTGTATGACCACGTTACGGTTGTTTTTCGACTCTGTTTTGACAAGAGGCGTTGACTGCTGCTTGATGGCTGCTAAATCCAACAAGTAGAACATCTGGATCTGTATGTCCTCGTTTATCTTGAACAGTCTGCTGAGGGTTTCACCATCCGCTGCGTCAAATTGACCGATGTTCAAGTCATCCTCTAGCTTCTGCTTAACCCTCTGACGTTGACCCGTAAGTTCATCCTGTTTGGTTTTCAACGAGATCAATTGCTCTACTGCGTCCTTTCGCGAGCGAGCGCGTTCCATCCTTTCCTGTTCGCTAGGATCAGGCTTGCCAAATTCGGACAGATGTGCAACGAATGCCGCCCGTGCGCTGTCCCATGCTGAGCTTGCAGCCTTGAGGTGCTTTTGCAATCTTTGACCTTCAGTACTAAGAAAGGCTTCAATCGATTCTTTTATAGCATCTCTCTTTTCTTTGGACAGTTCAGAAGAGCTTGGTATGCGTTTGTCAAGTACAGGAGCAGACTCAGCAATCTTTTTGGGGGACTGAGACTTTGCTGGGGTAGGTATGGAAATCTCTTCCGGCTGATATGGGCTCGGGCTTCGTATGGTCTTCGAAGGCGACCGTATAGGAAGCTGCGTCTGATTGGAAACTCCGCCAGGGCCAGCCATTGGTGTCTTTTCACGCACTCTCTTCATCGTTGGGATAGGTGATTTGGTCCGAGACTGTGTGTCGAAATCCATCTCGTCCAGTGCGCCGAATTCATCGTCCTCGGAGTCTAGAACTGCATGCCCAACTCTCTTAGTGCCAGGTGTATGCGAAACTCCATTCTTTCCAGTTGTGCTCTCGATCGTGACAAGATTGTTGTTTCGGGGCGAAGGGCTACGTGTTTGCCTCCCTATCTTTCGAGCGGGTGCAATCTCAGAGGGTACGCGGCTCAGTGACTTGCGCTTACGGGCTTGTGAGGATGTCGCATTTTCTGCAGCCGCCATCTGTCGCTCCTCTTCTTCCAGTTGTAACATGACCTCCATATCGTCATCTTCAGCTGTTGCAATATGCTTTAATTGTCTACCTGCACCATCTACAATGGCCGAGTAAGGTGGGGGAGGGCTATCTGGAGCCATGACCATATCATCAATGTCCGGGAAGTCATCGTCGTCGTCGTCGTTGTTGTCGTCGTCAGGCTCTGGACTGAGCGCGGGCGCCTTCCGAACAGGTCTGGGGGATTTGGTGTGATGGAGGTCCGCTTCATACTCGTCGCTCTTCCGTTTTCTGCTCTTTTGCGTGCGCATTGGAATCGGCGAAGAGCAGCCCGCATCGTCTCCGGTGAGGTCGATTGAATCGACATCAATTGGCTCGCGGTACTTCGTCCTCGCAGTGGCGTGTTGAGAGGCGGGAGTGTTTTCCACGGTGGAGCCAGTAAGCTTCCTCACACTCGCCGAGGAGCCCTGCAGATTACTCCTGGAACCTCCTGCATCGCTAGGCTCCCTCCGCTCTCTGCTGGTTGGGTTCGAAGAGGCAGCATATTCAGGCAGCCCCGCTATAATCAGTCTAGGCTTTCCACTGGCTGGTGTGTTTCTCAGTCTTGCCATATCTGAGGCCGCGTCTTCCGTCCCTGGCGGATTGTGTATGTCGATGGTTCTTGTCCGAGCGAGAGCGTGGGGTGGAGCGGGTCGTGCGATTGGCAGTGCTGGTGGGGGCGGTGGCGCGGAGGCAGGTTCAGACTCATTGTATTCTACGTCTTCGTCCAAAAATGAAGAGTTCTGATGTGGAGTCGTCGCTGAACTCGTCGGAACTGCGTCGGGATCGTATACAACAGGCGAAATCGCGGGCGGAATGAAAGGCTTCTCGGCGATCAACCACTTGAGATGTTTGCTAAGATTGTTCCGAGGCATGAGAGCGTCGCATCGTTGGTGTGGGAGTCCGCATGGATATTCTACGCGTGCATCTGCATAGGCGTCGCGGTTTTACGGGCGAGATGGTGGCGATGTCATCGATGGTGCCGTCGACCGTGTTGTGCTAACTCCGCAACGCGCCGCGCTAGCACCAAATCACGTGCAGGGTCTCGAGATGCCGAACAGCGTTGGCTCTCTGGAGTGGGCCTGCCGCTCTGCAGTCAGAGATGCCGCTCTTTACACGGACCTGCCAACACACGGGCGATAACTCATATGGGCGCTACATCCATCTGGTTTGCGACAGTAACCAGCTCTATCCGCGCCAATATGGCGCAGGTTGCGAAGTCACCAGCCGCTTCTAGGTGGCCTAACTACTTCAAAATCTAGGCTCTGAGTAGAGTCATACGTTCCGTCGTACTGAGAAAGTCTTCCGGCCAATAACTCTTTCTACCAAATCAATCACCAAAACCAATCTATCTACTTGCGTGAAGTCTACTCTCATCACGTAAAACATCAAGCATCAATCATGGAGGTTACAGATAATGAGCTGTTCCAAAGGCTCTCCGCTGCAATCGCAAAGATACATTCAGGCCCTCCGCCTGCTGATGTCCTTCCATCCACGACTACATTGAATGACGCTCGCTCCAAGCTTCAGCCTCACCTCCCCAGCCAAGGTGTCGGGCTCGAAGAGAGCATACGTCACTTACAAGAGGACCTCGCTCCAGCATTCAATGGCTCTTCTCGCTCGCCAAATTACTACGGCTTTGTGACAGGTGGCATGACACCAGCAGCACTCCTTGCCGACAATCTGGTCTCAGCATACGACCAGAACGTACAAGTCCATCTGCCAAATGAGACCATTGCCACAGACGTAGAGGACCGAGCCCTTTCTCTACTCTGTGAATTGCTCGACTTCGAACCAGAGCAATGGCCGCATCGCATATTCACTACAGGCGCGACATCAGCGAACATCTTAGGTTTGGCATGCGGACGAGAGTACGTGATTGCTGAGGCCTCAGCGCACCGTACAGATGCAGAGATTAGCGTTGGTGAGCTTGGTATTGTTGAAGCTATGCGGAGTGCCGGGATTGACGATATTCAAATATTGACTACGGTACCACACTCATCGCTAGGAAAAGCGGCGGGCATACTAGGCCTTGGGCGGACGAGTGTCAAGTGTCTGGGGCAGTCAGAAGCACCACACAAGTTTGACATGCAGCTGCTCAAGAAATCACTCGAGCAGCCTGGTGCAGCGTCTATCGTTGCCATCTCTGCATCGGAAGTTAACACGGGAGTCTTCGCAACCTCAGGGCTAGAAGAGATGGAAGATATACGAAAGCTGTGCGACAGTAAGTTATGTCCTTGTACGAACTACATGTGAAACAACCACTGACTGCGCACACCAACATGCAGTGTATGGGGCGTGGATACATGTCGATGGCGCATTTGGGCTCTTCGGCCGCCTCTTGACATCGCCGACTTACTCTTCGATTGCCCAGGCTTGTGGAGGGCTCGACCTTGCAGACTCAATCACAGGCGATGCACACAAGCTGCTCAACGTACCATATGACTGTGGCTTCTTTCTCTCTCGGCACCATAATATCGCTGAACGCGTATTCCAAAACCCCAACGCTGCATATCTGGCTTCTGGGAACGACGCGAACGTCATCATGTCACCACTTAACATCGGACTCGAGAACTCCCGGCGCTTCAGGGCGTTACCAGTCTACGCCAATCTTGTTGCGTATGGTAGAGATGGCTATCGTACGATGTTGGAACGGCAGGTAGATCTCTCACGAGGAATCGCAAGATACATCCTGGAAAGCGATGGATATGAGCTCCTACCTAAGAGCAGTGCTTGCCAGGAAGACATCTTGAAGGGAATCTACATCATCGTACTGTTTCGTGCAGTAGACGAAGAACTGAACAAACAGCTGGTCAATAAAATCAAGGCCACGAGGAAGATATACGTATCAGGTACAGCGTGGGATGGAAAGCCAGCGTGTAGGTTCGCAGTCTCAAATTGGATGACAGACGCTAAGAGGGATTTGCCCATCATCAAACAAGTGTTGCAAGATGTAGTATTGGGGAAAGAGGGCAAATAGCCGCACTAGCTGACCGTTTTCCGAACCACCACAGGAATATAAGCTTTTTACATATCCTCCATTTTGTATACTTCGTATGCTGGTTCTTCGTATGGATGTGCCCTGTGTCTATTAATGATGCTAGTTTGATACCAAGGAAGGACAAACCGACTTCTTCAGCGCTTCCACAGCTTTGACAGCGGTATCACGCCCCATACATATAGCCTCGATTCTATACTCATCTACTTCTTCCAATTCACCAACTTTGCCAATCTACATAACCAGTGTCAGTTGCGGAATGTTTATTATAGCTTCAGTTTTACCTGAGACACGATTAAGATGGATATAGACCTACATGTGGATTGGCAGCATCGCCTGGTCTGAACTGTCCCGTTCCTCTGCTAGTGAAGCAGCACTCGGTGTACCCGGCTGGGCCTGGGAAACGTCCCGCACCGGCACCGAAGATAGCAGCCTTACAGGCATTGACGGCGGAAGGAGGAACGAAGAATACGAGCTTGAACTTGTGCATTTCTTTTCTGGAGACGGTGAGTATGTAACCGAGTACGCTGAGGGTCACGATGATGCAAGAGTGCTCAGGCTGGTGTTTGAGGCGGGGCTACAGTTATTGCAGATGCACGGCACCGCATATGGTATCAGCATTCAAGTGTAGCCTCGAAGTCCTGATCAAGAGCTGGAGGATACCACATGGAGCCTACGCGTTCTCGATGGACTAGGGTCGAAATCAAGACACGGACCCGTTCTGCATTGTGTGGTAGATTCTGTCTGGGCACTCCATCTAGTCTAACAGTTGAGGGCTCAGGGACAAGTGGGGCGCGCGGGGCTGACACGTGCACGGGTGTTTGTTTACGCTTTTGTCCGTTAAGGCTAGGCAAGTGTCAGGTCGCACAAGGGCACTCCGCGCAAACGGCCTCCCACCACGGCGAACCCACAGTCATAGCGACAAGCCATGGCTTCAATCTCCCCGAGGAAGTCTACGCGCGCCGCTGCGACGCGCCGAAAGGCACCCGTTGTCGACGATTCGGACCACGAGGAAAACAGGACACCGACACCCGAAGTCAAGCAGGAGGCAGACGAGGAGGAATTCACACCAGCACCAGCACCGCTCAAGACGGGCCGGGGGCGGGGAAGGCCGCGGAAGACTGCAGCCCAGAATGAAGAAGCGACGCCCAAACCCACGACGAGGCGGCGGACTCGCGTCACTGAGTCGGTCGAGCCCACGCAGACGCTGACCCCCGCGACAGAGAGGACCACGAGGGTGGCTTCACCCTCCAAGGCAGTGCCCAAGAAGCGTGGAAGGAAGCCCCGTTCCTCTGTTGCCCCAGCATCCGTCGAGGAGGACTCCCATTTGCTCACGCCTGAGCCCTCGATATCTCCTGAGCCTGAAGTTGAGCAGGCCTCCGAAGCCACGATTACACCAAGCTCACCGCTCGCTGGTGCTACAGACGACACGGCGGAAGATGTCGCCAACGACGCGGCGAGCGACGTTACAATGACCGATCGAACGCCAGAGCCGGCACCCGAGCCAGAACCCGTGCCCGAGCCAGTCGCTGAGGTTGCACAGATAGAAGCGAAAGAGGAGACACCGGTACCAGAGCCAAAGATGGAGGTTGATACATTACCAGAGCCCCAGCCGCCGGCCAAGGTCGCCGAGGAACTCAGCACGCAGCAAACCATGCTTGAGCCCATAGATATCGTGGTCAAGAGACGAGCGGCTGCCATTCCAGCGCTGCACGAGCCAGTGGCGCCCAAGCAGCGGACAGTCATCACCTGGCTTGTCCTCAACAACTTCAAGAGTTATGCTGGTCGGCAGGAGGTTGGGCCCTTCCACGCCTCCTTCTCCTCCGTCGTGGGTCCCAACGGTTCCGGAAAGTCAAACGTCATCGACTCGCTCCTGTTCGTCTTTGGCTTCCGCGCAAGCAAGATGCGTCAGAGCAAGCTTTCCGCCCTCATCCACAACTCAGCCGCCTTCCCAGATCTGGATTATTGTGAAGTCGAAGTCCACTTCCAAGAAGTCAAAGACCTTGCAAACGGCGGCCACGAAGTCATCCCTGACTCGCAGCTCGTAATTTCCCGCAGAGCATTCAAGAACAACTCGAGCAAATACTACATCAACAAGAAGGAGTCTACATTTACCATTGTCACGAATTTGCTCAAAGACCGGGGTGTGGATCTCGATCACAAGCGCTTCTTGATCTTGCAGGGCGAGGTTGAGTCGATTGCGCAGATGAAGCCAAAAGCACAGGGCGAACATGACGATGGTCTGCTTGAGTACCTCGAAGATATTATCGGCACATCCAAGTACAAGACACCTATCGCTGAGTCTGAGGTCGAAGTGGAGAACCTGAATGAAGTATGTCGGGAAAAAAGCAGCCGTGTGCAGCACGTCGAAAAGGAGAAGAGCGGACTGGAAGAGAAGAAGAACAAGGCGCTTGCCTACATCCGTGACGAGAATGAGCTGGCCTCAAAGCAGTCCACCCTCTACCAGATCTACGTCTCCGAGTTCGATGATCACATTCAAGTCGCACAAGAGTCCGTCGGTCAGCTCCAGGCGCAATTGGACGACGAGTTACAAAAACACCAGGGGAGTGAAGAAGAGATCAAGGAACTGGAGCAACGATACAAGAAGGGCGTGAAAGAGTGCGATCAACTCGAGAAGAGAAACCAGGAGTACCAGAAAGAAGTGGCCCGTGTCGACAAGGAGACGGTCAAATTTGAAGAGAAGAAGAAGTTTCTGGCTGGTAAGCAGAAGAAGCTAGAAAAGACCAAAGAGACAAGTGGCTATGGTCGTTCTGAAGCGGAGAGTCTTGCGAAGCAGTATTCCGCGGATGTCGAGCGCTACAACGAGGAGATTGCTGAGCTTGAGCAGAGCATGGAGGTCGAAGCGAAGGAACTCGAAGTTGTTCGCAAGAGCTTGGCTGGTAAAACTCAGGGTCTCTCGGATGAGATCGCGGCAAAGCAGAAGTCTTTGGAACCTTGGAGCGCCAAGATTAACGAAAAACAATCGGCTATTGCAGTCGCGCAGAGTGAATTGGACATTATGCGCGAGCGTGAGAATGCTGGCGCAAAGGGCATCGCCGAAGTTGAGGCAAAGATTGAAAGCTTGGAAGAAGCGAAACAGACCAAGGCTGCCGAGCTTGACGAATGCAAAGCCGAAAGGAAGCGTGTCGAAAAGGAGGTTCGGAAGACACAGGCTAAGCTTGAGGAGATAACTCAACAAGAGCCATTGCTGAGATCGAAGCTTTCTGGCGCAAGGGCTAAGGCGGATGAAGCTCGTGCGAGCCTTTCTTCGGCTCAGACCCAGGGCAACGTTCTGACAGGCCTCATGCGCCTGAAAGAATCAGGACGTATTGATGGCTTCCACGGTCGACTCGGAAATCTTGGTACCATCGACCAGAAGTACGATGTTGCTATCTCTACAGCCTGTCCACAGCTGGACAACATGGTTGTAGACACTGTGGAGTCTGGTCAGCAGTGCATTGAGTACCTGCGGAAGAACAACCTTGGTCGCGCCAACTTCATTCTTCTGGACCGCCTCGCGAAGCGTGACATGTCCCCAGTTCAAACACCCGAAAACGTGCCGCGTCTTTTTGATCTTGTTAAGCCTAAGCACGAAAAGCTCAAGCCCGCATTCTTCCAGGTCATGACAAATACACTCGTAGCTGAGAATCTCGATCAAGCTGAGCGTATCGCGTATGGCGCAAAGCGATGGCGAGTCGTCACTCTGGACGGCAAGCTTATCGACACCGCGGGTACCATGAGTGGTGGTGGAAGCAGAGTGGTCAAGGGAAAGATGTCCTCCAAGCTTGCGTCTGACGTCTCAAAAGACCAGGTTACAAAGCTTGAGCATGATCGGGACGCGCTCGAACAGACTTTCGCCGAGTTCCAGCAAGAGCTGCGGGAGCTTGAGACTGCGCTGAGAAATCTCAATCAGCAAATACCTGAATTGGATACCAAGTCGCAAAAGCTTGCGCTTGAACTGGAGAGCTTCGATCGCAATATTGCAGATTGTCAACGTCGCATCGCAGAGTTGGGCAATGAACAAACGTCCACAAAGACTGACAAGGGACGCATCGCATCACTGGAAAAGAACATCGCCTCAATGGAGAAGGAGGTCGCTAAGCTCCGTGCCGAGACTGAAGACATCGAAGCCGAGATCAAAGGTCTTCAGGACAAGATTATGGAGATTGGTGGAGTCAAGCTACGAGGTCAGAAGGCCAAGGTCGATGGTCTAAAAGGGCAGATTGACACTCTGACCGAGCAAGTATCAAATGCCCAGGTCGCCAAGTCAAAAGAAGAGAAGCAGCGTGCTAAGCACGAGAAAGCGCACAACGATGCTATCAAGGAGCTGGAAAAGCTCGCTATCGATGCAGAGCAGGTTGAAGAGGACATGGCTTCGCAACAACGCGATGTTTCCGGAATTCGACAACAAGCTGAAGAGGCGCAAGAAGAGCTTGAGACCAGGAAAGAGGAGCTGCAGGTAGTCAAGAAGGATCTTGACGAGAAGTTAGCGGAACTCAACGAGACGCGTGCAGTCGAAATCGAAATGCGCAACAAGCTCGAAGAGAGCCAGAAGACTTTGAATGAGTACCAGAAGAAACAAGCCTACTTCCATGACAAGCTGAGCAAGCTCTCGTACCAGAGCGTTACCGACCTGGGCGAAGAGCAGGAGGGTGAAGGTCAGGGCCTTCCATCTTACAGTAAAGACGAGCTTCAAGACATGGACAAGGCCACCCTCAAAGACCAAATCGCCCACTTGGAGAAGAAGAACGAATCCACACAAGTCGACCTAGCTGTCCTCGCCGAATATCGCAAGCGTGTCGAAGAGCACGCCGCACGCTCCACAGATCTCGCCTCTGCTGTCAGCGCCCGTGACGCAGCAAAGCATAAATGCGAAGAGCTCCGACGCCTCCGCAAGGAAGGTTTCAAGGCTGGGTTTGACATCATCACTGCCCGCCTTAAGGAGATGTACCAGATGATCACCATGGGTGGTAACGCCGAACTGGAATATGAGGATACACTTGACGCCTTTTCCGAGGGCATTCGCTTCTCCGTCATGCCTCCGAAAAAGTCATGGAAGAACATCAGCAACTTGTCTGGTGGTGAGAAGACGTTGAGTTCTCTGGCTTTGGTATTTGCTCTACATCACTACAAGCCTACGCCATTGTATGTCATGGACGAGATTGACGCAGCCCTGGACTTCCGAAACGTGAGCATCGTGGCGAGTTACATCAAAGAGAGGACGAAGAATGCTCAGTTCATTGTCATCTCACTCAGAAACAACATGTTCGAGCTTGCGTCGCGGTTGGTGGGCGTTTACAAGGTTAATCATATGGTAAGTTCACATTGGTACACATCAAATGGGTTAAGCATCAGTTACTGACTACGAGCAGACGAAGAGTGTTACGATTGAAAACAAAGACTATATCACCGGACGGGCTTGATTAGTTGATGGTGGGTAACGATGGCTCTTGTGTTTGGTGTTTGGCGCTGGAGAACCCATGGGCATGCATTTGGTATAGAGCGGGTTGGGTTGGGATGAAAACATGATACCACGCTCAGATACGTGTAGTCTAGTACTGAATGAATGCAATGTTGGACGTTTCCATATCTACAACAACATGATTTCTCTCGATAGAACGATTGCAATCGTATAGTTCAAATTAGCTTTCCTCTATCCGTTAGGTCCTTTCGACTCTTTGAGTGAGAGCAGTATCAGGAGTCTGTTTTCACTTTCCCTGCCACATTCATCGGTCATGCTCCTAGACGAACCGTCATAGCGCCTCTCTACCCAACAACAAAACTTCCCGACTCTTATGTTGTAACGGTTTTCTGACTTACACAGACACGCCACTCGTTACTTTCCACCTCTTGGTCCTGGCCTTTCTCACTAACCTACTTGAGCAGACAAACACAGGCACTACCAATTACAAGCTTACGCACCCATACCCACATACCCACCCCCTGCCTCTACTCACCCCAGACCTGCAACCCACCTTCGACAGCTACTAGGTTGGTCGAGTATCGCACCCTATACGCCACTACAACAACCCAACAATCTAACCACTCTTCAATATTATTTTACCCCGAGTAAGTTAGCATGTCTCCAGCTCACGACATCATCATGTCCTTCGTCACTGGTCAGTAATGTCCCTATACGAACTGCATATCGGACATGGAATAACTTTGTGTACTTACATATAGGCGCCGACTCTGACTTGTTGAGAGGACGCTCAGACGAATACACCAGCAGCACAGAAAAGACCAACGCCGCTACATACACGCCAGAGAAGACGTCCAAAGACGCTCGTTTCAAGAAGGACAAAAACCAGGCAATGGGAGATCGAAATCTCCGAAACACTAGATCTACCCAGACCAGCCCAACTACCGAGAAGGAAGCATCTGCATCGAGCGAATCAAGCATTTCCACATCAACGGCTGATTCCAGTGAAGGTGTTATCACAGGGTCAGTATCACCGACCAAGGCCGGCCGTGCAGACAGGGATGCCCAGAACTTTGTTGTCCGGTCGAAAGATCCCCGCGCCGTGACCGAGAAGGATTTATCACAAGGCAAGAAGCGCCCAGCAGATGAAAAGAAGGGCGGTCGAGCAAAGCGTCAAGTCCGGTCCTCTCAGGAGCTAGGTCTGACCTACAACAGCATCAAGGCTATTAATATGCCTCCTCGCCCCGGTCAAGTTCCTGGCCAAGTTCCTCCCGCACCTGTCTTTGGTACTTTTCCCTTTGGTGACACAGAAGATCATCAGAACAGCATGATCATCTACTGGCTGGATGATCTGGAGAACACATATGCGAAAACGACTGAGCTGTACAACGAGACGTTTCCAAATGATAAGGTGACTGATGAAGCTGTACGTCGTCGTCACATTAGATCTTTGGAGCGGCTTCAGAAGCGCTACGGTGCAAAGCCTGTGGCGCAGATTGGTATAGTCGGCAAGAATATCGCGAGGCGTGGTAGGCCGCGTGCACCACGTCTGAGTGGTATCGAGCCTGAGAATGATCCTCCCGACGCTGCTTCTCCATCTGAAGAGCAAATCGAAAGCGATGTTTCCGCCCCTGAAGATAATTTGGCTCCTACATTTCCGTCTCCTCCAAAGGGTAGCCTGGCCAAAGCTACGAATCAGGCACAACGCGAGAAACGGAACCACCGGGGCCATGAGTTCGACAAGGCTTGTATCGTTGTTTGGCACGACGCTGATAAGATGTCGTTCAAGGACATCCGCACGAGACTCGACAACGAGCGTGGATGGTCACTGGGTGAGCCCACGGTCAAGAAGGAGTACACGAGGGCTCGTGCTCGCATCTGGGGCACGGCTGCACCGGACATGGCTACTGAAGAGGACGAAAATGGAAAAAGAGATGTGACTGAAGACGGTGAAGGAGAAGACGTTGAAATGAAGGAGGACTTGATTGAACAGGATGAGACATGAGTTGGAGATGACGGGGTAGCCTGCATTGTCAAACAGCAGCACGGAGAGTCTGTCGGAGCCAACATGAGGAGGATCTTAGATGTGTACATGGAAATACACCCGCCTGCCGTGAGCTTCTCATACTTTTTGGTGTATCAAATCGTGTTCGTGTCTTCATTCCATCGCGTGAGGCGGTGATGCTCGCCCTCTCTTTGATTGGTTTTAGCCTGACGCACGGGCCAGATCGCCGCGGCCTTGAACCGCGACTGATTCCATCACTTCTACACGACAGCGAGCCATTTGGCTATATCGACACCAACCGCCCCCACACGACCGAGGAACGCGCCGGCGACGCCATCGAAGAACGTACGCGAACACGCCGCCTATACCGGGAGCGCTTCACAAGATTTCGAGCGCGGTGATAGCGTGAATGACGGCGCGCGCACCCCTCAACCGTTCTTCCGCCCCCCGGCGCGCTCTCACACTCAGCCGTTGAAACGAACGCCTATATTAATACCTGGACTTGACTCCGATTCCTTCAACACATTTATCCCGCTGCTCAGCTACTGCCACACTACACGCGACCATGTCCGACGAGAACCCGCCCCCGAACGGCGGCGGTGGTGACGCCAGCATAGACCAGGATGAGGATGACTTTCGCAAGATCATGCAACAGATGTCACGGGGTGCTGCAGAGGGCGAAGAAGATCTCTTGGGTGGCATCGCCGATAGGCCGTTGGACATTGGTGAGAAGGCCGACGACGCAGTCGACTACGAAGACATCAGCGACGATGACCTGCCGGATGAGGAATTTGACTCGGGCGAGGGCGCCGATAGCACCCAAAACTTCAGCGGAACTACCCTACAGGACTCTGGCGGCGCAGTGGACAATGAAGATGTAGACATGGACGATCTTTTTGGCGACAACAACGATGACAACGACGATAACGATGATCTCTTCGGCGATGACCCCAGTCACTCTGACCCAGTGCAGACATCTACACAACACGAAGACGATCCCCTTACTTCCATCGAAGACTTGGTCCAAGAAGGCTTCGACACTATCGCAAAGGATACGCCACAGCCGGCTACTCGTAACACGGCTGCTGGTGCTGCACAGCAAGAGATAGAGGAGGAAGAGGAAGAGGAGGAGGACCCAGAGGTGCGCGAGCAACTGGCTCTATTCGCACAATCTTCGCGCAAGAAAGACGAGCCAGCGGCTGCTCCAGTCAAGACATCACGGGAAGAATTTGAAAAGATCTGGCCCAATTTCGAGGCGGACAAACCACCACGGTTCTTCAGTCTGGTACCACGAAAGCGTGCTTTTTACATCCCCAAAGTTCCTCAAAAGACGCCCAAACCCTTCCAGCTTAATAAGCTCACCCTGGACCTTGCGACGGATCAAGAGAAAAGTTTCCGCTTACAGCCTACAACGACCACCGCTAAATCGGGTAGACAGCAAGATGAGGAGCAAGGCGGTCTAATCCAAATCACCAACGCTGCAGAAGAGGACGGCGATAGCGAAGACCAGCTAGAACTCGACAACCTCGATACTATTGACGACCGTGAGATGATCGGCAATGTGTCGTGGAGTGACCTGAGGATTGCCTGCGAAGACTGGGATGTGCCAGATGGTGCAAGCGATATAACCCTGTCCGATGAGAACCAGGCACCAACGCCGCCTGACAGCAACGGCGGTATCGACTCTGAGCAACTGTCGCCAAATAAGAAGCGGAGACTCGGAAGCCGCGACCAGCCTATTCACTTCTCCGTCTATGATCACATGGAGCTGCCCACATGGGACGATCCCGAGCTCGAGACGGCGCGACTGTCGAAGAAGATTCTTCTCGACATGAACGACCCACATCTTCTGCTTGATGTACAGCAGCCCAGTGCAGAGCCACCGAAACCCCGGACATTAGGCCTAGGTCTTAAGCGTGACAGCCGCGGAAGTCTGGCAAACCCCATGTTCAAGCGTTACAACATCTCCAATGATGAGGCATATGACGCTCTGAAGGAAAGCAGCCAGCAGAAGGTCCGTAGTACGATTGGCCACATGAATGTCGAGCACAGCTTGCCCGCACTGAAGTTGCAATATCCCTTCTACAAGGTTGCGCTGTCGGATCGCGAGCTCCGTTCCTTCCATCGTCCTACTGTTACCTTCAAGCCTGGAGAACGAGCTAGCATCACACCGCTCAAGTCCGTCAAAAGGAAACACAAGAAAAACCTCAAGCCCTCCGAGGCCTTTGCGTCAGCCGAAGATCTCAACATTGGTGACAATTCCGACCTGCTTCTTGCCGAGTACTCTGAGGAGTACCCCACTACCCTGTCCAACTTTGGTATGGGTGTCAAGATCCTCAACTACTACCGCCGAAAGGACATGGAAGACACTGCACGACCGAAACCGGAAGACGGAATCGGCGAGACTTCAGTGCTGCTACCACAAGATAAGAGTCCGTTCTCGTTGTTCGGTCAGGTTGAACCGGGCCAGCAAGTGCTGACGCTTCACAACGCCATGTACCGAGCTCCAGTGTTCAAGCACAAGCCCGAACAGACTGACTTCCTTGTGAGCAGAAGTTGGACTGGGGTTAATGGCCCCAGGTACTACATGCGAAACATTCCGAATCTCATGGTCGTCGGCCAACAGTTCCCCTCTGTTGAGGTGCCTGGTACACATGCTCGCAAAGTTACTGAAGCCTCGAAGAAGCGACTCAAGATGCTTGCATTCCGATTGTACCGGAAGGGGCAGCAGAAGAATGCGCGTCAGCCTTGGGTTAGTAACGAGATGATCAAGCAGCATTTGCCCGGTACCGAGATTGCGCAGAATCGTTCTCGAATGCGAGAAATCATGAAGTATCAGAAGGACATTGGTACTTGGGAGCCAGTACCAGGCGAGACTGTACCTGAGGAACCGATCCTACGTACTTGGATCAAGCCGGAAGACGTCTGTCTGATTGACTCGATGCATGCTGGTGACAAACAGCTGCAAGACGCCGGTATCAAATCCAACGAGATCCGTGATGACGAGGAAGAGGCTGATAATGAGAACGCTGATGTCAAGCTTGCGCCCTGGAACACAACGAAGAATTTCCTCAACGCCTGTGCCGGCAAGGCTATGTTGGAGCTCCACGGTGACGGTGATCCTACTGGTCAAGGCCTGGGTTTCAGCTTCATCAAGGTCTCGATGAAGGGTGGTTTCAGGGATGTCGGTGAGAGCGCAGCTGATCGTCTTGATAACAAGAAGATGAAAGAGCTTGGCGGTCACAGCTACAACGTTCAGCGCCAGCAGGTCATGTACGAGAATGCCATCAAGCGTATCTGGAACAAGCAGAAGGAGAGTTTGTCTGCCCAAAACCCACCGTCCGACACCGAAGACGACGTTGACTCTGCTGTCAACCAAACAAACCACAGTCGCCAACGTTCCGAAGTAGGTACTCCAGCTATGCGTCCTGATGATGAGACCATGTCCCAGATGTCTCGCAATAGTAATGCGGACAACCGTGGCAAGAAGCTCAAGATTACTCGCACTATCAAGAACAAGTACGACGAGTTCGAAGATGTCACTGAAATAATCACCGACCCTGCTGTCATCCAGCTTTATATTAAGCACAAGCGACAAGAGCGTCTACTCAACATGCGCATTGAAGACATCAAGCCCACTGGTGATCCTGAAGTGGACAAGGCACAAAAGATTAAGCTGAAGGCGGAATTGGCGCGTCTAGCTCGCAACATAGAGCGTCGCGAAGGCCGTGAAAAGGCAAAAGGATTGCACAAGTCGCAGACGGGAGAAGGTGGAGCGACTGGCGGGCCAGGAAAAGGTGGAGCAACACCTCGCAAGTGTGCAAACTGCGGCGAGGTGGGCCACATCAAGACAAACAAAAAGTAAGTCGTCAAGATTCACTCTTTATTGAACGAATCCGCTAACACAATCTCCAATAGGCTCTGCCCGCTCCTCAACGGCCAGAGGAAGCAAAACGACACGTTTAGGGACGCAAATGCAAGTGCTGCATCTCCCGCTACTGTTGTTCCCGCTACCCCTTCTTTCGCTGGTTCACCGTCTTAGAAATAATCGCTGTGGGAGAAAAGGGACGACATCAACGAGATTTAATAGCCGCTACGTATCTCGACTGGGTTTGTACGGTTGTACAAGCATGCCAAGAGGTAATGGTGGATCGAGACACTGACGCGTTACGTGTCTCAATGTGAAGGGTTTGAAGTCTTTTTCTTAATGCATAGCATGGCGTTGGTGGAATAGCTTTCTCATGATACGGGAGGTATCAGTCAAAAGCAACTTTGGGATTTTCGAGTCTGGATGGCTCTGATGCTGTTTATTTATCCATGGGTACAGACTACCCAGTTGTGTGGCCCTGCTTGTTGCTTCTTCCAAGCATAGTAATTTGTACAACATCCTTGGTCCAGATGGAAGAATAAAAACAGTCTTCTGCCTCTCATGTTCACTGTTGCTGGAGATTATTGGAGCAGAGCACACGGCTTTGGGAGTGAAACTGTACATGGTGTTACACATACAGTCTCATACATTGTCTATACAAGAAGATGAAAAAGAGTTTGGTACAGACGGCGAGAAGACTGAAGCAAAACCATGTGAACTCTCTCGCAATGCTACAGCACTCAAAAATGATAACAGTTTCCACTCCGCCGTTATACACATCCTATGTTCGCCTAGACACCTCATCCCAGCCCATCCCGCTTATCCTACACGTTCCATTATTCGTCCAGATAGCCAATCTTGCAGAACTGGTTCAGGCTCCGCACGTCCAATTGTGCGGTCAAGAGTGCGCCGAGCAACGTCTCCTTTCGAGGTAGTATATCCGCCTTGACTTTCCACGAGCTACCGTTGAAGTTGAAGATCTCCATATCGTCGTCGTCATATTCCTCTTCGTCGTCGTGGTTCACGTGCCCATTTGGTTGTTGCACGCCCTTGACCAGCGGCTCGCCACCCTTCGATTTGTCGCCTAAACGTTTCAGAGTCGATAGCGCACGGTGGACGATGAGCTGGAAGC